GATTTCTCTGGGGGGTGATTCCTTGTCCATTCTTTTCAACCATCGTTCTTCTCAAAAACCGGATCCGTTTCCCCAGGGTTTTTGGTGGATTTTTAGAAAGATTCGGATCCCTGGAAAGAATGGGGAAGGAAGGTAGAATTTCTCCAGTTCCCTCAATTCCCTCCATCGTTCCAACCCGACCAGGCATTCAGGTAAAAACACCTCTGCCCGTGCGCTCTCGCTCGTCCGTGCGCTGAGGACGAGGCCAAGTGGGCGTGCACTACGTTGCTGCAGTTCTCCTGTGGCAGTCAGGCGCGAGGGTAGGTGTCCATTTTGGTTGGTTTGTTTGAAAAATAGAGGGCGATTCCTGGTTTACCTGGTGGTTCAATCATCTACCAGGGCCATCTATTTTCCGAACAGGACACCTATGGGCGAGGGTCGCGGATACGCAGCGCTGGCTCTTTTTTTCCCTGTTCGCGCCCACAGGGTGGGCAGAACGTGCAAGGATAGTCGCATGGTCAGCGTGAAGAAGTTGAGCTTTAACTACCTCAACAAGCCTAGAATGGCCAAGAGGGCAGGTTTCAACATGGGTACGGTTGATTTTTCGATTGCAAGTACAGCCAAGGCCACGCATCATGCCCCAGTCGCCTAATCGGGTGGGTATTCCTCCTGGCTGGTTTAGAAGGGTCTTCGAATCCGTCTGAACGGGATTCGTAGGGCGTGCCTTTTCTATGGACCTACCCCAAAAACGATGCTGGTTTTCCTTGTGGTTTTGCTTCTCTTCCTACAAGAAATATGGCGCCCTCAAACAGACCCACCCATGTTTCCCTGGTTCCAAAGGGACAGTCGCCGTCTGGGTACTCTCCGCACATGGACTTCGGCTTTCCTCCTGGTTTTCCTTTAGAACCCACCAACCTATCAGGTATTCCGAAGCACCAGACCCAACCGAAAAAAAGGAGCTCCCCCGAAAAAAGAAGCAAAAGAAGAAAAAGAAAAGGACGAGCCACCTGTCTTTTTCTCTTTTTTTAAACGAGCCACCTGTCACCCCCGCTGGCTTTTTTCATCTCGCGGCCAGGCCTCCCCGCTGTTTCGGCCGCTGGGGGGCTCCTGGTCCGTGATCTACGAGGCCGGTTTTTTCTCGCCGGGGAGCAATTTTCGCGGCGGTTTCTCGCGGGCTAGGGGCGGATTTCACCCACAAGTAGACAGAACACAGACCTGATCAGGGCCATCAAAGTTGGGCGGGTTCAAATTTTTCTGGGTACCACCGGTGCTCACGCCGTGGAGACCACAACAAGTCCGGCTATCCCACAAGCTTTCAACTTTTAGCAGGGGATCAGTTTTGGACTCAGGGCCCTTGGCTCTTTTTGGGCTTGGTTTCAAAGGACACCCTCAATTTCAGGGAACCCAAAATGGTGTGCTCCTCTTTTTTTGGACCAGCTTTTGGCCGGTTTCAAAGGCAAATCAGGCATGCTCCACATGTTCCCCTGCGCGTCCTGTTTTGAGGGGGCCCTGCTGTCTGGTTTCAAAGGGCAAGGACACCGAAGCCATGAAATGGTTCCGCTTCCGTTTCTTTTTTTTGGCAGGGCATCATATACATATAGACCCTTTTCAGAGTCGCTAGCGGCTGTATCTCACATTGAACTGCTGGGTGGTTTGGACGTATACAAACTCCGCCTTTGACTGGTTTCCAGCCCCAGACCACTACCAGGGTGAAGTGGACATACAAACTCAGCCTTTAGACACATCCCCCGGAAACGTTCGAAGGCCTGACGAAAGATCCTCTATTCCTTTCATTTGCTCAAGAGTATTATATATGAAAACCCTTGTTGGTTTGTAAAGGGAATCGATTTCACTGGACATATGACATACTTTCCCATATTTTTTCCAGGGGGCTGGGATCACAGCTGTAAGACTTAGGCGTTTGTCTATGCGAAACTGAGACTTTGAAGGTGGCTTATATATTAAGACCCTCGTTGGTTTTAAAGGGAATCGATGTCGCTACTGGACTGTGGATGGACGAAATCCTACACCACTTGGAAACCATGGCTGAAACCATAACGTTTGTTGGTATTTACAGGGGACTCGACTCATTTTACCATGGTTTCCAAGTGGTGCGAAATGCATGGATTTCGCCACCATCCACAGTATCCATGGAGTCCACCAGATACAGGGGTCCCTATATTTCCCACTGTGGCGATTTTAAACATCACCTTTTTGGCCCATGAAAGGTGAGTGTCCCTTGGTGGGGGTGATGTTTTAAGGGGAAATGGTTCGGGAGCCCTGAGATACCCGCAGCAAACCACACCGCAGATTTCTCCGGAGAACTCGAGGCGCTGGCGCGGCACCCGGCGCCCGTGCCCCCGGCGGCCTCCGCGGCCCTGCGCGCGGCCGCGGAGTTCGTGCAGGGCGCCAAGGCGCGCGGAGCGCGCGCGCGGAGGGCGCGGACGTCGCCCCCGGAGGGCGCGGACGAGCGTCGAGGGACATGGCGCTTTTGGGGTTGGGGACGGGGCGCTTTTTTGGGAGTTGGGTTGCGCTTTGGTGGCCGATTTTTTTGTTGTTCGGGTTCTGGGAGGGCCTCTCAAGAGGCGCGTCGTTTTTCTTTTTTTGCGTGTCTTTTTGGCTTTTTGGGAGGCTTTTGTGAGGTCGTTCCGGCCGAAGCTAAGCCAATCGCGGCAGTAGACAGGGGACAATGCAACCAGGTCCAAAAGCGGCAGTTGCCAGTGGATGGTTGCGAAATCCTCTTAGGCACCACTTTGAAACCGTGGGAAGGAAGCCATTGTGCATTGCTGGTACTTGAAAACTATCCCAGGGTTTTCTTAGGTTGTGCGAAATGGATTTCGTGAATCCACGGGCAGGTTTGATTTTGAGTCAACAGCACCTGGGTGAAACTGACGGATGGAGGGGTGGACCTTTGGTGACGGATTCGAGCCGCGCGCCGGATCGAGCTTCGGATTCGCCACCGGAAGCCTCGATATGTCAGGCACCTCGGTGGTTTGGAGCCTGGCGGTTTGGATTTGGAGCCTGGTGGTTTGGATTTGGAGCCTGGTGGTTTGGATTTTTTTTTTTGAACCCCTTCTTGTAGAAAGTAAATGGGCTTCCCCATTTCTGAGCCAATGCGCCGGGCTCAGCACCAAACAACGAGGGAGGCTGAGCAAAGTTATTCATTGGTTGGGTGGCAGCTGGGGCTGAAGTGCAACTACCTCTTGCCAGTTGCAACACGTGGGGCACCCCAAACAGTGTAGCACCCCCCCTCTCTTACTAGCGTTACTAACATGGCACCTGACAGGGACCCGGTCCCTTTAAGACGAAACTGCTCTTTTAGGTAGCCTCTCACAGATGCCTTCTGTTTGTGCCGGGTCGAATATGGGGTGACAGCTCGCCGAAAGTGCAACACCACGTGGGTCAAAACCAATGCAATGGGATACCATTTTGGGGGTTGCACCACCCATTTTGGTCCATTGTTGTGGGATTGGCATGTTCACTGGGGGTACGATTTGGGTTTTGACCCATGGCCATTTGTGGTTGCGCCCCCAAAAAAGTTTTCAGAAACCATCCGTCCCTTGCTCTCGGGACTGTCGGATCGGACGGACTCTCGCCAGTCCCGGGAGCTGCGGCTGCAGTTTGCGCTCCTCGTGCACACAGACGAGGCGCGCCGCCTGCATGAGCGTTGGTGAGGAGAGGCGGCGATTGGGGGGCTCAGCAACCCATGGGCGCTAGGGGGGCTATCCCTGGAGAAGCCTAGGCTCACTTCCTGAGTTCATCAACTTTAAGCTTTTCGGGAAGGCCATAGTGGTAATTCTAAAGTTTGGTTACTTTTTTTGGGCCATCCACTCAGCCAGTGAGGGTAAGCCAAGGCTAGGCTCAGAAGGCGTTGGTAGCCTTTCTGAGGGGTTCATGGCATAGCAGGGGGTTCCTCCAAAATGACGTACAAATGGGGGGTGGATCAATATTCCCTTCCGCCCCGAAAGGCGCATGGGCGACTTTTCCCACGTGGGACATAGAATATCATATCTTTAGTGTTTTTCCCCACCAATGGTCTTTTGATGTAAAGGACCGTTTGACCCCATGTATATTATGCTAGGGAAGACTAAACATGACAGAATCTGAACATGTTTTGTTTGGCGAAGGAACACGCCAAAAAACATATGCAAACTACCCTCCCACCAACTAACATGGAACGTGACAGGGGGGCCCTGGTTTGGACCATGTTTATGTTCCTTCCAAAAGGACCCCTGTCAGGTTCCTAAACCCTTAAACCCTAAACTCGGCAGGGTACATACATGATTCTGGATGAACCCCAAAAAAGCGCCGCATGCTTCACAGTCTCTTGTCCCGGTCTTTCTGGGAAAATCAAAGGGACAAGGATCGGATGAGCCGTGGCGCTGCTTGTCACAGTCAGTGCTTCCGCTGCTTTGCCATCCTGGGCGCCCCTTCCTGTATCTTGCGCCCTTCGAATTTTGCTGGAACAACTTGGATCGCCAGTTGCGAATCGCTTTTTTCCATACACTTTACCATCCAGAAACCAGTAACAGTGACTGAACAAAACAGCAACTTGGCTATCCAGGAAGTTGCTTTTAACTTTGCGGCTTTGACTTCTTGGTTGATGCTTCTGGATTTTCCAAATTGGACCGACAAAAAGCGAGGACACTTTTTGCAGAGGGGTCGTTGCGGCAACCAAGATAAAGAATAAATATCTTGGTCACCGGAGAAATAGATGGCAAGGCAAGGTTGCGACTCAGGCCGGGACCATGGTTCATTTCATGTAGCTTTTCAGAGTTTCGTTTTTCAAGAGAAGCCAAAAGGGTCTGTCTTGTTTTGACGGTACCCCCTGTTTTTGCTGTTCTAAATGGAACCAAGACAAGTTTTGGGGCCCCCTAAAAGAGACGCACCCCAAAAGAAACCAATGATATATTTGGACGTGTACAAGTTTGATCACAAGAACGGCCACTTTTTCACCTCTGCAAACCACATATTTCGACTTATATTTTTTTCTGGGAAGTTCCAATTTCCCTTGGCCTGATACCGCCAACTTCTGAATCGATTCATGCCCCCCCCGCATGCAATGGGGAATTCTGGGGGGTGTCCTTCTTGCTAGAAGGATGATTTTCGGACACCAAAAATAAACCACCTCCCGAACTTTTTGGGGGCCCTACTGTGGATGGACGAAATCCTGCACCACTTGGAAACCATGAAAAACCATGGTTTGTTGGTATTTACAGGGGACTCGACTCATTCTAGGGTTTCTTGGGTGGCGCGAAATGGATTTCGTCCATCCACAGTAGGACCCTAGGAAACGACACGCCAATTTGCACCTGACCAGCGAGCCTTTGCTTCCTCGGGACGCATGACGAATCGGCGGAATCCAACAGCGATCCGATTTAGCTGGAGGGCGTCCGACAAGGAGGATTTTTTCCCCGAAAGAGGGGCGGGTTACGGACATAGGTGTCCTTTTTGGATGTTTTGTTCTCGAAAAATGGATGGCGATTCCTGGTCTAGCTGGTGGTTTCATCATCTAGCAGGGAAACCCATCTATTTCCCCAAAAAGGACACCTATGGTTACGGAAACCAAAAGGAGCCCCGCTGTGATTTCCAGCAATGTTGACCTGGTCTTGTCCCCTGGAAACTCTTCAGTGACCTGCAGGGTTCCCAGTATGAGCGTGGCTCAAGGTAGGGGGCACCTCAAAATGGTCAGTTTGCTTTTAGTTTCCCTGCAAAACGTCAGTTTTCCTTTAGCTTCCCTTTAACAACCAACCAAACCGGGTACCCGTGAAAGAACACACACTCATATCACTCACGGGTCTACCTTCAAGGAAGGTAGTGCCCCAGGAAAAGTGGCCTCTGCCTCTTTCCCAGTTGCATAGTTTTTCGGACCTTCGGATGTTTCTTGCGGTGTCCAAAAGTTGGGGTGTCACCCCTTTTGAAAGACGCCGTGGCACACACACACACAACTTTCTCCACGTGCAGGGGCGCCTTGCTGGCTATCAGCTTTTGGGGCCAATTCCCCAGATGGGTTGCGATTTGCAGAGTCTGGTTGAGAGGCATCAGGGTGCACCAGGGCTGCCAGCACCCTTCGAAATGCCGGCGCTTCCCTCTTGGCTTTCCTTCGTCCAAGCGAGGACCCCAACCCAAGCAAGCCCCCAGTCCAGTGAGTCGCCAGGCCGCCTTGTCGCGCTTCGTTGGCGACGTCGAGGGTGCGATTGTGTTGCTGTGTAAGGCCCGGCCGCTAAAGCTCATTCTGGGTTTGTCTGTTTTCTTTTTGGTTTTCCCCGCGGTTTTTAAAGGGACACCAAAAGGAAAACCAAACTCATTTTTTGGGGATTCGGTTCCCAACAAAAAGACACGTCACCCTTCTGGTCCTTTGTTTGTGGTCAGTTTCTTTGTTGGGGCGGTGAACTGGCGACGAGCCGCCCACATCGTCACATGCTGCACTTCAAAAGGAATTTTGGACCTGCAGACCTTCGCACAAAGGCCGGGGTGACAGCAAACTAGAACACATTTTGCAGTGAGCACTCCAACTTGCTTTTTTAATTTAAGCAGGCCTTGCGTGAAGCGCACGATTTTGGAACGTGTGTGTTTTTTGCCACTCTCTGTGATAGTCCCTTGGTATCCCCTTGAAACTGATACAATCCTCATGGAGAAGGGACTCCTGCATCACAAGGGTGATCTTCAACGGACCAGGATCCCATTTTTGATGACCTTGCTGGGTGCTTGGGTGTTCGATGCGCCAAGTTAGCAAGTTGTCCGTAGCCTGGGTTCTAACATGTTCTAAGTCACTCAGCTGCTTACGTGGGGTGCTCATCCAGTCAGCGGGTTATAACCCAGGTGGCGTTGGCCACGTTCTAACCTTGGCGCATCGAGCATCCAAGTGCCAAGCCGAAACAGGCCCGAACCCCGTGGGCTTCGGGGGCTGTAGGTGGACCTCAAGTGCGCTTTGAAACCGGCTCGTGGCTTGCAAACGGAGACGTGGCTTGCAGTAAACTGAAACCAGGGGGGTCTTTTTGCCTGTGAAAAAATGGTGGACCCCCTTGTGGTGAAGGATTCCTGTTTGAGGGGGTCGCATATTTTCTCTTAGAAAAGGCGGCAAAAAGACCCCCCTGAATGTTAACCCCGGATTAATAAAGCCCCGGTTGATGAATAGAAAGGTGTCCCCTTTTTTTAAGGTGGGGATTCATCACTTTTGGCGGGACTCCCCCCCGTAACAATGGCACGGGTTTATGAATTGTGGGTCAACATGCTACTGAAAAGCCGCAGAATTGGTTGAGGGATCCCTGGCTTCGCAGGCAGCGAGCAACTCGGACCCGCTGCTCAGTGAGGCGGGGGTTGGGAGCTTTGTCCAAGCTCCGGAGCTCCGGGCGCGGCGTCGGGGGTCGGCGACATGGGCGGCTGCTGTTCTAGGCACCGGGGCCCCAGAAAACGGTGAAGTGGTCTGTGCCTTCCCTTGAAAAGGCTGTAACTAAAAAAAATTGAAAATGGCGCGGGGATTTTGCCCTTGGCCCAGTTGCAACCAGAGGATTCCGTTTGTGGTTGCTGTCTTTTCCTTTTTTTTGGGCGGGAAGGGGTTCCCCTTTAAACTCAGCACCAAAAAGGGATGCTTTGTTCCCATGGCCACTGGGCATCCGAGGCAAACTGGTAGCTTTCCATTTGGTCCCCTAGTTTTGCCAACCCAGAAAGGGTGCCCGAAAGGTCAACAGAGGCCCAAATGGGCCATGTGCCACAGTCACACAACCTAATTGTTACTGTGGGTTGCTACACCGCAATGCAAGGCCGGGGCCCTCCAAGTATCATGGAAGTGGACAGAGGGCTTCCATGTCAGCTTCCAGGTGTACAGTTGGGTGCAACCTGCTTCGACAAGTCCACCAAGCAGCAACCCGCGACATAGACAGAAAGCGCATGCAACATGTATCCACCTCTCACTCCCTGAGTTCCTGGACTTTAAACTTTTTGGGAAGACCATTTTAGTGGTAAACAGAAACTTTGAACTTTTTTTGGCCCATCAACTCAGGAAGTGAGACCTTCAAGGTTGTTCTCAAACCGCTCAGTCGCCGCTCAGTCTTGCAGCGATTGTCGCCGCTCAGCTCGTCAGCTTGTTGACCTCTGCCAATCTCCCGAGCCCCTTCTTTTTTCAGCCGTGAATGTGTTAGGGTTGGGCCACACCTTGAAGAACATGTTTAGTCTACTCTCGTTGAATCAACCTCCTTTTGGTTTTCCTTTGAAATAGACCAGGCGCTTGGTCATGTTGTTTTGGATGCGTCGACGTGTCGACGGCCGTTTCCGTTTTGTGACCGATCCATCGTACACCCCTCAGGTGTACCCTAAGGCACCTGGAAGGTTCCCGCTTCGGGCTCCGAGGCAGTGACATCGGATTTTCGGAAGAAACAAAACCTGCTGAAGATTGCCCTAGGGTTCCTTGCCCCCATGAAAGGAAAGGCCTTGGGACCCAATTTGGATGACAATCCTTAGGTAAACAAAGGTGGTGGTATTTTCGCCTCATTGTTTCAGTGGTGGTTTGACTCCCAGGGATTGTATCTGGTTGCGAAGTCCATTTCGCTCCACGGAATGAAACCATGGGAATGAAGCCAACTCCCCTGCTGATTAATATTGTGTCGCCATGAAATGAAACCGTGGGAATTTCACCACAACGTTTGCCGGTATTTCTGGTGGTGGAGAATCGCATCATTCAATTCCAGGGTTTCTGAGCGGTGAAGGATATGGTTCATCCACAGTATGGGGGTGTTCCCTTCCAAAAGTGCTCTGAAGCCCCACAAAAACCAGGGAGACCCCCCAAAAAAATACAATAAGTAGAGGTTGATTCAAATTTTCAGATTCCATGGCAGGAGGGGCTCTTGGGGCAGTGGCGGAGTGACATCGAGGCGGGGCGTTCAGAGAGGGGGATGATTGTGGCCATTGGACAGAAAATTTGTTTGCGTCAACAAAAGCATCTGTAGCCAAAATGGATCCACACATGTTAAGCTTTGTTTGCAGAGGGGACAACGGCAACCAAGCAGATGCCACCAGCTGTCAGATGCTTCAGATGCACGGGGTGAAAATAATGGGGGGTTATTTTAAGCCTCAGAATGTTGCGTGCCGGCAAGATTCGCCGTTGCTGAAATTGTGTGTGTGTTCGAGTTTTCCGCGGGTCTATAGCGATTTGCTTTTTTGCACAAGGACACCTAGGTGTTCGTGCTTGAAAAGGCCTAGGCATCCCTGGACGAAACGGACATGGTCATGACTGGTAAAGAATGTGTAGTTGAGGTGATACCGTCGATGGACCAAATCCGCTTGGCACCAGTTGGGGATGGATGAAACCCATGAGTGCTGGGATAAACCACCAACTGGTGCGGGTTTTATCCCGTCGGGCGGCCTGTGTTCCGGTTTCCGGCTCCACGGAGGTCCGAGCCGAAAATCACAAAACATGTCTTGTCAGGCGTCGTTTGCAGAGGCAGGTTCCTGGTGTCACAGTAGTGGGGGAAAGCAGCACACTCCCAGGTTCCTGTCGTTCTGCCATAACTTACGGATGATACCTTCTGCAGTTTTGGATGTACCCTCCCACCAGTTAACATGGAACCTGACAGGGTGGTCCTGGAAGACCATTGTCCTTTTAAAGGGACCACTTCCCGAACGTCGAACGGTTCCATGCTAGTTGGGAGGGTTTTCGTATTTGATTTGGTCGGGGAACGAGAGACTCTCATTCCTCCAAGTTCCACTCTTATAACATTACTTTGTTGCATTTTGCCAAGGGATGTTCGGACTTTAACTTTTTGCCAACTAATGGGTTTTCCGTATCAAACCACTAAAAGTTAGTCACTTTTAGCAGGGGAGCAGAAAGGAACCGAGATTATAAAAAGGAAAGATGTGTTAGCATGACTCTTCCCCTGCGCCTCCCCTCTTGGGCGGGGGGTCCATGATTCCAGCCGCTGTTTTCCTCGAGAAAAAAAGAAAACACCGCGCACAGCCCGAGAAAAAAACGGTCCAGGGCGAGCCCCGAAGCCGAAGCCGAGGCTTTCCGCCGCCGCTGCCGGGAGATTTGGGCCCGGCGCTCGGAGAGTCGGAGAGCGAGCCGCCGGTTGGGTCTTTTCTTTTTCCGGCCGTGGCAGAAGAAAGGGGACAGCGGTTTCAGCTTGTGGAACCTTCACGATCGTGCACAAGAAGGCAATGGTGTGATTTCTAAGCCTAATGCCAGCCATTTGTTCGTGTTTTTTTTTTTTTCTCCGACGCTCAAGCTGGTTTTTGGGGCCAAGCCAAAAAGGATTCTGGAGGTTTAAAAGCAGAGCTTGGGGTTGCACAACCCCAAGGACCCCCCCCTCAAAGCCTGAAGAACAAGCAGGAGGGCGCCTCAAGTGAAGCTGGTGGCAAGTTTGGTCAGAGCCGGTGCAAGGGACGCTCTAAATGCTACTGGGCGTGTCCTTGTCTGGCGGGTACGCCTTCTTTTCCTCACTGTTCTTGGCATGTTTGTTGGTTTTTTAGTTTTTTGGTTCTAGATCATTTTTACTGGGTCGTGGCAAAAAACAGTCCGTTTTTTGCCAGCCCATACCAAGAGTAGAGATGAATTTTGGCTGGCTTGGAAAGGAGCCAAAAGGACCTCAACCCTTCCGTAGGTGTCCCCGAGGCCCAAGGTTTTTGGGTTGTTCAAAGCGAATCGACCGGATCTGACCTTTTGGTTTCCCCATTTTGGCAACCATCTTTAGTAGAGGTGCCAAAAGGTGATCACCTTTGGTTTCTGGGTCCAAACTGGGCAAGTGAGATTTGGAATGGACAAAAACCCAAGCCCCGCAAGCGAGCGAGTCGCTCACGGGGGCAACGTTTCGTCGCGTCTGGCGTCTGGCGCACACGGAAGGAAGATGCTCAATGGGGAAACCCAAAGCCACTGGCGAGCCGCGAGCGCCGGCAGAGACCAGCGCAGAAAGAAATACGTAAAGGGGCGATTCGGTATCAGGTAAGTGGTTGGTAACCATGGTCACAACCCACTGAACGGAGTCTTGTAGATAAATTTCTTCGCCTCAGCGCGGGATCGTGTTCGTTTGTCTCTCTGAGGCGAAGAGGCGATGCTGGAAGACCATGCATGGCCCCCCAAAGTGCGGGATTCCTTTTGGAGGAAGGCGGCGTTTTTTGTTTAATCCCGGAAGAATGCGGAAACAGACAGCTCTGACTGGGTGTCTCTCGAACCTGTGCACCCTTCTGCCCTTCTGCTATGAAAATGCGCCGGCATTTTGGTTCTCATGTGTCTTAAAGTTGGGGAAGTCCCATCTAGGTGACCTATTGTGGTCGCTTTACCCTGCAAATGGGTCTGTCGTTGGTTCAAAAAGAAGCCAAAGGGAAGCCACCGGTTTTGTTTCGGTTTCAGAGTTGTAAGACACACGAACACGGACACCAAGAATCTTTTGAAACGCCACCAGCAAACTGTACACCAAATGGAAAGGCTTGGAAATTCTCTGGGCATGGTGCCCCAAGAGTTTGTTGCTTCTGTTTTGCGTCCATGGACGTGGCGGAGTGTGCCCTAAAGGTTTCCATTTGGGGTGTTGGTGGTAAGGGCAACCCCGGAAGACTAAGGCCCCTGTCTCTTAATTTTTCGGGGTATCCCTTTTTTTAGTGGGGACTTATCACTGCTCCAGGGGCCCCCCACCCCCCCTATCTGATAGGACATGTTTTTCTTTTCAAAAAACAAAAAACACATGGGATTCAACCTTACCCCGAAAACCGGCCACAAAGCCAAATGTCGAGTGGTGCTGATCTCGACCAAGGAGCTCTATATGTACTTTGTCTTCCTGGATGTAAAGGGGGACCGCGCGCTGCTGCGCATGGTCTCCAGGCGTGTTTGCGCTGTGCTTGGGGTAGCGAGGAGTCAGACATGACGCGTCTTCTCGCGGGACCGTGCTTGCTTTTGTATGTTTGGTTTTCTTGGTCATGCAGTTCTTCTGGCTCTTGTCGACCTAGTTCTGCTCTACTCCTGCGCTTCTCATTCTGCTGGTTCTTCACGCTTTTCTCGTTCTTTTCACTCTTGTCGTTGTATTGGCGTTCTTCCTCTTCTCGTTTGTCTTGCTCTTCTCGTCCGTTTTGCTCTTCGGTCGGTCGTTCATTCGCTCAGTCGGTTGGTGGGTTGGTTTGGCTTGGGTTGGTGGGTTGTGGGTTGGGTTGGGTTGGGTTGGGTTGGCTTGTTGGTTGGTTGGTTGGTTGGTTGGTTGGTTGGTTGGTTGGTTGGTTGGTTGGTTGGTTGGTTGGTTGGGTGGGTGGGTGGGTGGGTGGGTGGGTGGGTGGGTGGGTTGTGGGTCGGTCGGTCGGTCGGTTGGGTTGGTTGGTTGGTAGCCTGTTTGAGGTTGGTTGGTTGGTTGGTTTGGTTTGGGTTGGGTTGGGTTGGGTTGGGTTGGTCGGGTGTTGCTGTAGTCGCTGCGGCGTGTGGAAAGCTGACATGGGGATGTCGCAAGATGGGGCCGCACCCTTTGAACTGTTCAAGGGGGAAAGCAACATGACATCACTCACTTTGAGGGGTCCCCCTTTCGGGGCAAGCTATGGCGCAAGCTGCCAGAAGATGCATTGAATACCCATGTCAAGAGACTTCGCCCGCAATATTATTGGCAAGACCTTGCTTGCATGCTGAGTGCTGCAGCACAGAACACGCCAGCCACATGTGCTCCCGCAAGGCAACTGTTGAACCTTCTGGAGGTGACGCCGTCTGGTTTAGTGGCAAACCTCTCTCACACAGGCGCCTGGGAGATGCTGGGGGCCAGGGGCAGGGAGATGGCATGCGCGCTGCAAGGACAACGTGTTTTTCGGTCAGTGGTAGCTCTGAGTTCAGGGAATCCACCTTGTGACAGGCTTTCTACGAGTGAACTAAGACGTTCCGGGCAAGTCGGCATTTTGACCGGGCCCCTGCAACCACTGATGTGGAGGACCTGCGAAAAGAAAATGAACGGGGACCCGGGGACAGTCTTGCAACTAGTCCAGTCCAACTTCCTTGCTTCGGAAGGCCCAAAGTTTAAGCTTTTTCGCATCAAAGCCCCATGCGCCTCCAGTTTACTGGGCAGGCTAGGTTTCTTTCCGTGATTTGGTGGACACAAACACCGGCTTCCGTTTTGATGTTGCATTTTGAGTTTCCCCCATCGAACCCCTCCCCACCGCACCTACACCATGAACCGCCCCCCTCCCACCTCCCGACAGCTTTCGGCAGGCCCTTGGGCGCAGCCTGCTTTGCAGATCCTGGCGAAGGGCATGGGCGCATCTCTGCTGGAGCGGCGCCACCGCCAGGCGAGTCGGACTTTCTGCGAGCAAGAGATCGGAGATTGGAGAGAGCCGCTTGACCCGGCAGTGGTCCCCATACTGTGGATGGTTGCAAAATCCAGTGCACACCACCTAAGAAACCCTGGAATGAGTCGAGTCCCCTATTAATACCAACAAACAATGGTTTGCCCTGGCTTCCAAGTGGTGCAGGATTGCGTCCATCCACAGTATGGCCGCGGCTCAAAAAACACCAAGGGGTGGATGGAACCAAGGACCACAAACCTGCGTGTTACCCTAGCTCTTGAAGTTTCAGCCACACCCATATCTCCCTTTTTGGTGGTTTTAAACATCACCTATTTGGCCCATGAAAGATGTTTGTTTCCTTGGTGGGGGTGATGATTGAAGGGGAAATGATTCGGGAGCCCTGTAAGGGGGGTAGGTCGGTTCCCGGGGGGTAGGTACAATGGCTGGGCAGCAGAGAGCTCTGGGGTGAGTGGAATGCCTTGGAGTTCCGCTGAGTGGTTTGGAGTGCTCCACAGCCACCGTGCCCCAAACCACCAAGTAGAAAGAGGCTGAAACTTGTCTTGAATTGTCTGGTGTGTCCAACTTTTGGGTGCGTTTTCCCCGTGTCCCATAAGGTCATCCAGGACGCACCCGAGGACCTTTTCCTTTTTTTCGATCTTGTGGGCCCGCGGACATCTGCGATGTTTGCCCCGTTGTGGGCCGAAAGGGACACCAACATGGGACACCGAGCATTTTCTGGGCGGTTTCCGGGCCTCCGGTTCCTGAGTTTAGTTTTTTTTTTGGTGGGGGTTTCATGGGATTTCCAATCCACCCACAAGTTAAGTTTTTAGAAGGGGATCGGAGGACAGTTGTTCTCTTAAGAAAGCAAACGCCAAATCTGGATACAAAGTTGTAATCCTCCCCAGATCAGACGTAGCTACTGACAAGCTTGGAAGGCAACCAGGCACCATATCTCAGATTCGCACCTTCACGTTGATTCGTTCAGAAGTGGTTCTACGCGAAGTTCATCCAGCAAGGTTCCTATTCAGATGTTTTCCTTTGCCAACAGGCAACCAAAGTTGACACAAGTTTCACGTAGGTTTGCGCAGCCAGATTCAGGTATAGTGTTACAAAGACTCATGGGGTTCGTACCCCTGCGTTGCTTCACCCAGACTCATGGAACTCCGAGTTTGGCGACCTCCAAGGCTTGGGCAAATGTGAAACTCAGAAGGGGGCCACTACTTGGCGCAGATTACAGTGCGGCAACACGTGAACAGATTGATCGACCAAGCTCCACCCGCCGGGTTTTCCTTTGGTTTTTCTTTGAAACCGTGGGGGTACCCTCAAACCACCTGGAGGATTCTCACTTTACAGCGAAGTTCTTCCTTTTGGTTTTCCTTCCAAAAGGCCAACACCTCCCATCTACCACAAAAAGATAAACCTAACCCCCAAAAAAGTCACCGCGCAAAACAAAACAAACAAAAAGCAAAAACAACACCAAAAAAGGGGGGCGTTTTTTCGATTCCACCCCACCCCCCCCCCCCCCGCCCCAAAAAAAAGAAGAGAAAAGGAACCAACCAAAAAGCAAACCAAAACACAAAGCAACGAACCAGGGGGGGGGGGTTTGCCTCGGTGTTCCACACCGCCCGACGGCCCTGAGCGCCTCCGTTTCCCCCGGCCGCGCGGCGGACGTCGGCGGTCGGCGAGGCGCTGGAGGAGTGGCACAGCGCGGTGCAGGCGGCGACGGCCAAGGCCTGCGAGTCGGCGGCCGGCGCCAAAGGCGGGCGGGACCTGGGGGCTGAATAAACTCCCGACTTCCGAGGTCCGGGGGTCGGACGGGACTTTAGAGGCACCTTGTTGGGGTTTAGAGACCATGTTTTTGGTGGATAAGAAAATGGGTTGGTTTTGGGCTTAGACCATTAATTTTTTGGTGGATAAGAAAATGGGTTGGTTTTGGGGTGAAGGTGGGTGAGGGGGGTGAGGGGTGGGAAGGGAAAGGGGGGGATCGACTGCTTTCGGCTCGCCGCAATCTTGTCAGCGCAAGGGGAGCCGAACAAGGAGGCGATCAAAGCCGAGCTTCACAGGCGCAACTTTGGAATTCACGTGGCTTGTGGCTTGCTGTTTTTCAGTAACTTGGTTTTAGAAAACGGTTTGGATGCGCGTTTTGTGGATTTTACCTGTTCTTCCCCCTATAGGTTCCAAGTACTCTTTTATTGCTCTGACTGTCCTACAGGGGTGGATCCACAAAAATCGCATCCAAACCGTTTTAGCCTTTTAGTGTTTTTTCTTTTGTTCTTTTTGTGGTGGTTTCCACACAACTAGAAGGTAGAATCTTGTAGCAGGGGATCGGAGGGGACCAGCCCAGTGGATTTTGGGGATAGGGTTCGCTTTGGAGGGTCTGTGGTGTCAAACCTCCCGAACGAGCCTGCTTACCCGTAGCCATAAGAGCCCCAAAAGGCCATGGAAATAGTGTTTGAGGCTACTGTTTGTCATGGGGGCTGGGGGGGGGAGGAGGGAGGGGAGGCCCAAATAAGGCTCCCTCCCCCTCCCCTCCTCCCCCAAGCCCCCATGAGTTTGAGGACATGTTTTTTCTTCTGGATTTAAACATCCACCTTTTGCCTGCTTGAGTTTCCCCTCTGGGGTCACTCTTTCAGAGGGAAACAATACGGGGCTTTGCCCGATGTGGTGGCTGCCGAAGCCTGGGGAAATCCCCCCAAATACACCAGACCCATTCGCAAAACGGAACAGCTCTTCATGCGACCCCTCCATGTAGAGGAATACCTTTGTTCCATTCCTTGCTGGAGTTCAGTATTGATTTACTACGGGCACAGCCCGTTGAAAGCTTGCAGCCCGTTGAAAGCTTGCAGGTGGCTGCTGTTCTCTTCATCGTTGCTCTTGGCTTACCTTTTGGACGTGTCGACGCGAGCGAAGTCCAAAAAACAGGGGAGCCTTCGCTGTTTTGAGCCGGCTCGCACAACTTGCTTTGGTGAATTGAGGGAGTTTCGGGTGATCACCCCTTTCGACCAAGTTAGTAAGTTGTCACCTGAGTTCGAACCCAAGCCTCACACTAGTGGACCTGTCATCAGGGGGTAACCCAGGAGAATTACTTGCGAAGTTGGCGAATCGGACATCCATCAAAGGGTTTGGTTGCAGGAACATCTACAGGAAATGGCCCCAAAACACCCTAAAGTAGAGGTTTTTCCTCTGAACTTTCCTGTCGCCCAACCCTTTGAATCCAAGTACCAAGCCCAAATCGGGGCAAATCCTTCGTCTTGAAAGAGGCCGTGGCTTGACGGAGACGTGGCTTGACTGCCGGGCGGTTTCTGGGTTCTCCAACACCGGCGCGCAGTCTCCCACATCTCCAAGGTGATCTTCCATTTGCTTAAGAACATGATTTATTTTTCCCTCTTGGCTTTAAAGAGAATCTATCACTACATGGAAGCATTTCATTTTTTCCAGGGGGCTTACGCAAGTGGAAGTGATGCGTGTATCAACCTTTGAAACTCACGCAGTGATTTTATTCGATCTTTTTGTGGCACTTGCTGTTGCACGCCTCCGGATCGTTTTTCGCTTTCCGAAGACCTGGGCTGCGAGTCTGCGAGGCAACAAGCGCTGCAGTTCTGGAGCCACTACTTCCAAACCAGCGCCTGGAGCCACAGTCCGGTGTTTCCCAACCCCCAACCTTCGGCCGGCGGATTTTTTTCCAAGTTGAAGCTGGTGCCGAATCTGCGGCCGTTTTTAGGCACCCGGCAAAACGGGGCGTTGGGCGGGCGTTCTTTCTGTGTTTTTCGGATTCTGCGTGGTTCCGAGCCAGCCATGCGGTTCCTCAGCTCTCCTAGATCCTTTTGTGAGTGGTTGAGGAGCCCGAAGAAAAACCCACAAGTTATTCACTCAGCAGGGGATCTGAAAACGGACAGCCTACTGGTGCACCGTTTGGCTCGATGTATTTGCTTCGGGAAGGCTCCGGGATGCATGGCTGGGTCTTTGGGAGGACCTCAAACCCATCAGACCCTTTTGGAAGCAAATGGCATCTTTCCAGCGGTACCTTCCCCATTCTTTCCAGGGATCCTTCTTTCTAGAAAACCTCCGGAAACCCAGGGAAAACGGATCCTGTTTTTGAAAAGAACGATGGTTGAAAAGAATGGTCAAGGAATCAACCCCTAGAATCTTCGGTGCAGGGGAGATTCACTGCATGGGGCTAGGTCAGCTTAAAGCTTTCAAGCGCTCCTGTCGGTGAAGGCTCTTCAGCCGGCTACACTCAAGTTTGTGGACCCAAACAAAATGCATTTTCATGAACACCTACAAGCATAGGTGTCCTTGAATACCTGGAGGTTTTTTCTCAACTACCAGGGACATTTTCCCAATTTTCCAGCAGAAAGGATACCTATGCCTAAAAGCAGTTCGACCCTTCTTCCCAGGGGGGAAGCACCATTTAAGCCATTTGTTCGGGTTCGCGGCCAGGCGCTCGCTGAGGGAAAACTGGGATCAAGGTGCTGTTGGATATTCGCCCTTTGGGCGCCTGTACGGGTGATGGTTTTTGGACCTAGGCGGAAGCTAGGTGGAGTTCTTGCAAGTACTGTGGAATCCATTTCGCACCACCCAAGAAACCCTAGAATGATGCGATTCCCCTGTAAATACCAACAAGAAATGGTTTCAACCATGGTTTCAAAGTGGTGCGAAATGGATTTCGCAACCATCCACAGTATCAGTTGCTACCAGAACCAAGTCTAGCTCTCTCGGCTTGCAATGCAAGAGCCTTCTTGGGTGTCCCAAGCAAGTTCTCAGTCTGGGTTTAACTCCCTCTTGGGGTTAGCAAGTCAGTGGGCATTTTTGGCGGCAGGCCACTTGGCGAATCGAAGATCGCGTGCAGTTCGATCCGAGGCCAAAGTTGGCTGGTGGGACTTTGCCGACGCCTTTCAGGAGCCATGGGCGGTTTCAAGAGGTCGGTCCATTTGCTGAAAATAATATTCATATCTTGTTCCCTTGTTGGTTTCAAAAGGAATCTATCCCCACCTGAAATTTATTATTCTTATTTTAAAACTCATGTGGAATGGGGTTGGACACCAAACCCAACTATGTCATAAGGGACGAATCTTTCATTAATTATTTGAGGCCCTTACAAGGATAGCTCAGTTAGCTTTTAAGCGCCATCTTTCGCACTTTCTATCGATTTCTGCCGGCTTTTGGGCCTATATTCTTGTCCACTACAGCGAAGGACTGAAGTCTCGGCGCTGTCTCGCTTCGGACGTCTGACATCCTGGATTGTGGTTGCGGGGTTTCGGTTCGCAAATTCGACGTGTCTGATCGTTTTTAGTCATCTTTTTGTACACTCTTTTCATATTCTACAGGTGTGAATCCGCAGATTCGCCGGCATCCAAGCCATTTTCTAGCTTTTTAGGCTGGGGCCATGGTTCATTGCCGCAGGACAAAATGTGTTCCTTGCTCGGCCGGTGGCCGGAGCCAAGTTTGTGAGGAGTGCTTTTGTGGCAACAGCTGCCCGGCGGATGTGCTGTCTCGCCTGCAACGGCACGTGGCCAAGTCGCGCACCAGGCTCGGAATCGGAGGTCAGCTTCGGGGCTGTTGGGGGGGCGGGGGGCAGTTGCGGGCAGCCCAAGAGGGGGCTAGAAGCCGAATTTTTCTTAAGCCCAACGAAGAGGTAAGGGTTGATGGGGCGCCAGGTTTTTCAGTTTGGGCACCCGTGCTGGGATGGGCATTTTGTGGCAGAAGATGCGCCTGAAGATGCGGCTGCAGCAACAAGCATCCATTCCAAGGCACACAGTTCCCATTTTTCCAAGAGGTTTCGCCTCGCATAGACTTGTGAACTCAGCGACCGGCTTTTTTTGCTGGGAGCCTTTCTGAGCCATATGTTGCCAAACTGACGTGAGTTGAACCAGGCTGTTTCACGTTCTGAAGCGAGAAGATGTGTGCGTGAAACGGGCACGGCGGATCGATACCTCCGAAAGTGGGTGTTCCGTCTTTAAGCAGCCCGCGTTAAAGCTTGGTTTTGTATCCTGAAGTTTCCAGGCACATCCCAAAGCTTCCTCGTGGCTGGTTGCTCTATGGAAGACTCAGCTAAAGCATCTGGGCTCCAAGCTTTTACCGCAGCTCCCAAATAATCCGTTGGCGATTTGAGTTGGTGGTTATGTCTGGTTCACCCTCCCACCGGCCAACATGGAAGTGCACAGACCGTAGAAAGACTACTTTCCTCTTGGAAAGGGGCTTTGTGCACAAACCCATGTAAGTTAGTGGGAGGGTATGTGGATTGGAGTGAGACCAAGAAAAACCCAGGAGGCCATTTTGGTAGAGCCTCTGGGTTGGGGGCCGGGCCGGGACCTGTCAGGGAGCATGCAAGGGATTCGGACTCAGGTGGCGCTTTTTCCGGCAGGAAGTGGCTGGCTCGTCCTTTTTCGAGGGTACCATTTTTCAGGTTGGTTTAAGGGAAACCGAAAGGAAGCTCACCATGTTGGGGGTTCCCATATTTTGAGGCACACCCAAAAGGTGGAGAAGTCGCACGTTTGTGGTTGAGATATTTGGCGGACCCGGTGCTGAGAAGAACACCCTTGTGTAGGAGGATGGTTGACTTCACTCAGCTGCTTGGCTGTTTGCAGCAGAACTTCGCCAGCCATCCACTTAAGAAAACGCCTTCAAGCTCTTCTTGGTGCACAAGTCTGATGGACAAGGAGTGTCTTTAACGGAACTTCAACTCTGTTTCTTTATGCCATACCCAAGCTTTTGGCCGCGCACAATGAGCGAGAAGAGACTCCTTTTACAGCACATGAAAACTCCCCCTATTGGGCGATGGGCTG